TTCAACTTACTATCTTTCTCAAACCTACTTTCTTCACACAACCCTTTCTGAAGCCACAAGTCATACAGCTCTCTAGAATTAGTGTTTAGCCTTCTCAAATTGAAACTCGCGTCTCTCAAAATAGATACCGCCTCTGATGAAAGACTGAAAGCTGATTCTACACTTTCCCCTCCATAACACAAATCGTCTGCATACAATGAGCTATTTAACATCTCGACACAGTTTTTGTTTTTTTCCGCATATTTCTTTAAATGATGTTTGATCGTTGCACTCAATAAAAACGGAGAACAATTACGTCCAAATAATACTCTGTTCATTTCCATAATTTTAAAGTCCTCACTGTCATTATCAGGATACTACAGAAATTTTAAATATTGCCTATCTTCCCTTGCTATCCCAATCATCAAAAACGCCTTTTCTATGTCACCGCAGATTCCAATTTTAAATTTTCGAAAAGCAAGAATAATATCCTAAATATTCGGATTTAGATTTGGGCCCTTTTCTAAGCAAACGTTTAACAATAATTCCCCCTTCGCAACTGCTGCAGTTAAATACCATTCGAACTTGAGTGCTTTTTTTTATCTTTACGTACCACTGCTCGCAATGGCATAAAGTAACCTTCTCTCGTATCTTCACACAATAATGTTGTTTTGTGTCTGAAATTTAATTATTTCCATAAACTGTTCCCTCACATAGCTATTACTTTTTAACTCTCGCTGCACCTTTTCGAACTGCCTTTTCGCTACACCAAAATTATTTTCCAAATGCTCTTGACTCCTATTCCATAATAAGCGAGCCTCATATCTCCCGTCTACATATTTCAAATCCTCTTCAAATTGTTTAATTATTCGCTTATCGGCAGCGCTCCTTTCCGACGCGCACTCAGAAATTCCTAGACTTTCAATCTCCCAAAGCTGACGAATCTGTTCCGATATATTTAATTCATCTTCCGAATCGATGTGTATAAACAAACCGAGGGAGTCTGACCCTGAACTTAGCTTTTTACTATCTTGTGCTGTTTTTTCAGTCAAAACAGCACCAACACTTTCATTGCTTGTGTCCGGGTCAAGAATAAATGGTCTGTCGAGCTGAGGGTACGTCAGGATTGGAGCAGATGTTAAAGCTTCCTTGAAGTTGTTAAATGCATCTTCGCATTCTTTTGTCCACGAGAACTTTTGCCTGCTCTCTGTCAGCTTTTGAAGGGGTCTTGCGATGGAAGAAAAGTCCTTCACGAATCTCCTATAGTAGGTGCAAAACCCTAAGAAACTTCTCAGCTGATGGACATTTTCGGGATATTTCCAGGATTTAACGGCTGACACCTTTTCGGGATCCGTGCACACACCTTCTGCAGAGATGACATGTCCCAAGTAAGTCACTTCTTTCCGGAACAATTTGCATTTAGCGGGACTGAGCTTCAGATTGGCTTGTTTCAATATCTGAAGCACTTTTCTAAGATTTTCTAGATGTTCTTCAAAACTCTTTCCGACGATGATGATGTCGTCCAGGTATATCAGACAGGCTTCGTAGGAAAGACCTTTCAAAACTGTCTCATTGAGGCGTTCGAATGTTACCGGCGCATTACACAGTCCAAACGGCATCACCTTGAACTGCCAAAGCCCTTGTCCCGTAGTAAATGCCGTCTTTTCTCGGTCATCAGGATGTATTTCTACCAGCCAATACCCACTCCTTAAATCAAGTGTTGAGAACCACTTGGTTCCAGAAAGCGTGTCTAGAATGTCGCCAATTCTAGGAAGAGGGTAACTGTCTTTCTTCGTAACCTCATTCGTAACCGGCGATAGTCAACGCAAAATCTTGTTCAGCCGCGTTTCTTTCTGACGAGGAGGATGGGAGACGCCCATGGACTTGCTGAAAGCTCGATGACATCGCCTTCTTCCATATCTTTTAACAGTATTCGCACCTCTTCCTGTTTAGCAAACGGTAGACGTCTTGTATGTTGCTTGATCGGGGGTATAATCGCCGGTATCGATTCTATGTTGTGTCAAACTGGTTCAACCCACGTCAAAAGACGAGCGGGAGAAAACAACTTGAGGATCTTTAATGACACGATCGGCAGCATTCCTCTCTTTATCGTGGTGCATTCTGCAATAACTCCGATGTAATGCTCTCTGAGGTCACGGATTCTGGGATGTTACTCTTTCTTTCAACGCTGATACTGGAGTACATGCTGCAACCGCTTCCCCTTTCATACTAACTCTCGCCTTCGCAGTTACACTGGCGACTCTCACCGGGATAACTGTTCTGGATAGGTCGACGAGTGTTGAGGTTACTAGTACTCCTTTCGGGCTCTTACAATTATTGGGATATTCTATGATGCCGTAGTGGAAATTTCTATTTTCGGCTATGGATCCAGGAAGTAGAAACTCTGTTCTTGCGGGTATTGTGATATCACCTTGAGCTATGATTTTGTGGATAGATTTAAATCCTTCATTATTAATTCCAAATTGGGCTATGTCCTCAGATGAAGAATGCAATTCGTTATTTAAAAGTCCAAGGAAAAATTGTATTTCCTTAGAAAGTCCAATCCGAGTAGACGAGAATCAGTGATCTCTGCTACATATGCCGTGTGATGGTAAGCGGCACTTCCAAACTTGATGTTAACGTTTACTTTTCCGTCGATGTCGATCTTCTCACCGGACACAGTCTGGAAGGTAACGCAGGGCGGCGTCCAGATAAGTTGGCTTCCCAGGTGTTGAGCCAAATCTTTTCAGATGATGATAACGTTGGCTCCTGTATCTATCGGCATATTGCAGTGAACTCCATTAATATGTCCTATTATGAAAAGTCCATTACTGCCACCTCACACTGCAGAAATCTGAAGCGCTTTAAACTGGGGCTTTTCATTATCTGGCAACCTCCGCCCCACGAGATGGCCACTAATTAGTTTCCCTGCTGCTTGCTAGGAGCGGTCTTAACATCCGGGTCCTGGGGTATTCTGCAATTTCGTCGTATATGTCCTTCAGCGCTGCAGTTCTAGCACTTTACGTTCGGTTTCTTGTCACCAATATTCCGTCTCAAGGCGTTCAGTTATCTAGTTAAATCGTCTAGACGAGCAGTGACTTGATCCCCTGGCTCCTGGACTTGAGCAGTTCTGATTGGATGGCGGTCTCTACGAGTGGCTTGCTGGGCTGCCTCGAATTTCATGGAGTACACTAGAGCGCTTTTAAGGTTTTTAACATCCGCCATTCGTAGAGCTTTCTGTATTTCAGGATCCTGGATGCCGTCGATGAAATATTGCAGGGACAGGATTTCCCTTATTTCTGCCGGGCACTCCGCAGAGGTGAGATGGGACAGCCTTTCAACATCTGTGACGAGCTCCTGAAGTGTTTCGGTGGATTTCTGGTGACGGGATTTTAATTGAAGCCTGCTGTAGTCTTTCAAAGACTTTTGTCCAAAGCGCAGCTCCAGTGCGCCGGACAAAGCTTCGAAGTCTAATCTCTGGATATAAAAACGTTGCTACTGCTCGTTTTTAAATCGCACAGTGTGTTAGTAAGAAAACGTAAGTTTTACAAAATATGAAATAAAATAGCATCGCCAAACATTAAATATATTACTATTATATAAGGTTATGGTCTGACGTTGAAGAAATCACGTAATTTCATGTGACGTCATTTTATGTCGAAACGTTTTCGTTAATGTCAGCATTTTAAATAGTTGCTGTCGGCAACTTTTTTTTGTTCCACATTAAGATAATTGACACGGTATGTTATTGCCATGTCAATTCTTTTATCGACACTCAGAAAAAGTTTTTGTATTACATTAAGTTTAAATCATGACGTATTACAAGTGCGTATTAACCTGAAGTGTCCAAATGTTTTGTTTCCTAGTTTGGCAACAAAAAATTATTTACGAATTAATTGTTACTTGGAAAGAATGAACTGAGTATTTATATTTCAATATTTTTTTATGACACACGCAACAGGTATGTCATATCCATGTGCATTTTTCTTTTTGTATATTTCTCACCCATTCTGTCATAAAAGGACGAAACTTGGTGTAGCTGAGTTCAAGGTCACATACTTAAATGGGGAAAATTCCTGAGGTGACAGGTGCAACGGTGCTTTAGAAACACCATTGTTCGGGCATGTCACACCCGCGCGTGTACTCGCGTTTCTCAGTGAGTCATTTTGCACTTCTCGTTTTCAAACTTTTACTATAGAGCTTTTACTTTCAAGCTTTTACTTGAGTTGTAAGCATGGCGCCGTGTATTCCTTACGATGAAGAAATGAAAAGATTGAGAAATCTTCTTGAAACCGTTTCTTCTGATGAGGATTCATTTAGTAAAGATGTTGATTACGAAGAATATAATAGTAATCATGATTCATCCATAGAGAGTAGTGATTCAGATATAGAAACAAAATGAAACTTTGGAATGTAGCAATGAGTTTTATGTTGGAAAAAATGGAGTAAAATGGAACAAAAATAAATTCCGGACTAATGTTATAATTGGCGCCAAAAATAGTATAACTAAACTCCCTGGAAATATGAAGTATTCTAAAGACGTCTCAACACCTTTAGATTTCTGTTCACTGCTTATCGATGAAGATATGTTAAAACATGTAGTCGACAATACAAATATTTAAGCTTTAATTGGATTGCTGTATTTATGTGGAGTTTATAAATCATCTCATGTGAACGTAAGATATTTGTGGGCAACAGACGGAACGGGAATGGACATATTTCAGGAAACAATGTCAGTGAACTGATTCCTCTTTCTTTTACGATGCCTCCGTTTTGATGACATTAGAGATCGTCCCATTAGAAGAGACGTTGATAAATTAGCTCCAATCAGAGAATTTTTTGGAAATTTTGTCACAAATTGCCAAAAGGCTTATACTGTAGGAGAGTATGTGACCATTGATGAGAAGTTGGAATAATTCAGAGGTCGTTGTTCCTTCAAACAATATATGCCCAGCAAGCCAGCAATGTATGGCATAAAAATATTTGCTCTTGTAGACGCAATGGTATTTTATACCTAGAGTATGGAAATTTATGCTGGTAAACAACCAGATGGGCCATTTCAAGTTGAAAATGGTGCAAGCAAAGATGTCAAACGTTTAATAAGGCCCTTATACAAGTCTGGTCGAAATTTAACAGTTTATAATTGGTATATGGGATATGAATTATCTCAAGATCTCCTAAAGAAGAAAATTACGATAGTAGGTACAATGCGTAAAAATAAGAGAGAAATGCCACCCGAGTTTCTGGCAAAGAAAATAGAGGTATATTCTTCAATTTTCGGTTTTCAGAAAGAAGCAACACTTGTATCTTATGTGCCTAAAAAAAAAAAAAATAAGAGTGTGATTCTGTTATCCACAATGCATTCCGGCGATCAAATCGACGAATCTACTGGGGAATCTAAAACGCCTGAAATCATTACATTCTATAACATGACAAAAGGAGCAGTCGATGTTGTAGATGAGATGGCAGCTGCGTATTCTACAGCAAGAGTAGCACGTCGATGGCCTATGGTGATTTTCTTTTCAGTGTTAAACGTGACTGCCATTAATGCAAGAACAATTCTACTATCAAAGAAGGAACCACCAACGGAATACCGTAACAGGCGTACTTTTCTCAAAGCCTTAAGAATGCAGCTAATAGAAAGTGTTCAAAATGAACGACGACGAGCATCTGTAGTTCCTGATTCTAGACAAACACTGACCATCGATGAACATGTTAACAATGAACCACCACCCCAAAAACCTAAAATTACTTACAAGAGGTGTACAGAGTGCCCCAAGAAAAAAGATAGAAAGACCAGATTCATTTGTGAAAATTGTAGCAAAAGTATATGTATGGAACATATGATCTCATTTTGTAAACAATGTTAAAAAAATTGTAAGTAAATAATTTTACCTCTCCTTATTCTTTCATATCTTGTCTAAAATGAAGTATTAACTTGGTTTTACATTTTAATTTCTTTTAAAAACCGGTTAATTTTATTCGGCAAATTTTTAATTACAAACTTTTTATTCGGGTATGACATACCCGGCGCGTGTTCTCGTGTTCGTCGGATCGGTGCGCGTGCTCGCGGGTTAAGGTGTACGTAGAATACATAAGTTTTGCTTTGGCCGCAGCCCGCTGGCCAAATATATAAACTATGCCACTGGTTTCTTCATTTCCTTTAGAATGTATGTCTCTTTTAGGGACCTTTCAAGACTTCTTTAAGGTTGCCAGACGTCACCCGGTAAGTATTTGTTTCACAACTCCTTTCCATACACAAATGGCAAGGTCCTTTGCTAAAATTATTTGCTTTACTGAGATTTCCTTGCGCAGCGACATTAGAACTTGATCGTATAATACAGATATTAGAAGCGTATAATCGTTCTTTGCTTTAACCATTTCAGAATCCATCATTGCGTATAGCTCTTTTTCTAAAAGATTAGTATAGTTCCTTTCTGTTTCAACATGCAACTGCAGCATACTGGTCTTTCTCTCTAGCCATTGGTCACACATAAAGTAACTTCCGAGCAAGACAACTATTTATCCAGTTAAGACCAACTAAACAGCTCCATCTTTATTAGTCTGCTTTTAAGGATAAAATCAGAGGTCTCTTTTAGACTGAATAAAAATTTAAAATAAGAAAAAGATACATAAGAAGGAATAAGATAACATCAATACACAGTGCAATAATAGCAAAACAACAATTACTCTACTAAGGTTCTTGAATTACTCTACTAAGGTAACTACTAATATCATTGTTTTGGACTAACTGTGTTCTTATTAACATGTATTACTGTGAATGACCGAAATTGGAGAATGTCGACATTCACCGGTGAATGTCAACACATACCAAATACGCCAGTGAAAGACCGAATATTTGGTTATATTCTTGTACATTCGGACCATCACCGGTGTATTTCGACAATCACAGATATACTGTGGTGGAGGTCGAAAACAGAAGTCGAGTTCAACAGAGGGGTGACTGTCTGTCACCAAATCTTTTGCTCTGCTGCGATTGAAGTTATGTAGCATGTATTTGTTATACTCTGGAACACTTTTTGTCAGTCTTATGCTATGTTTGATGGTACGCGCAACATTTTCTTAATTTTTTCTTATCCAATACCCTAATTTATGGTGAATGGATACTGCAGTGAATCGTGAACTTTTCCTTGAAAAGTTAAATGCATTAATTGCGAGTAAACGAGAAGACAATTGTTTTAATTTTTCAAACACATCTCTCTCCTCACCGGGATTGATTACTCCTTATGAAGCTATGTTTGGCATTAAACCAAGAAGAGGCATAGCATCGTCTTTTTTGCCTGGCGAACAAATCGCAAATATTGAAACCGAAGAACAACTCTTAAGAAATTGCTAATACTTTTGAAACCGAAGAACGGCTTGAAGAAACTGTTAATACTTTTGAAGAAAATCTGAGCAGTGGCCATACCAAAAACCATATTGCAAAGAAAAATATTGAAAAGGACCTGCAACCTACCACGTCTTCGTATCAATTCGTTCGTCTCGGACTGAACAATTTCAGTTAATTTCTATAAAAAGATTGACCTCGAAAGAGAATCTTTTACTGCAAGCAACGAAACTGCTACGAACTCAAAAAAACTTTTTCTCCTGCTCAGATTGAGGATACTGTAAGAATATAAGTCCCTGATGTCGACCGTGACCGTACAGATGGCCGAATGTGTTGGCAGTTGTTGTTGGAATAAGACTCCGGCTTTTGTAAACTAGCAAATAAAAATGACCCCTTCGAGCAGCTTTATACCCGTAATCAGTTCGTCATTTGTAAAGGAAAGTTACTTTCAGTAGATGAGATTTCTTCTCAAGTAATGTCGCTGAGAGAAGCAGCAGCAGCTAATTCGAGAAGTAGAGGGCAAGGCTATATGCGCTGTCACTTGAAAAGGAAGTGTTTCACAACTAAATGCAGTTGTAAAAGCAAGGGACTCTTGCGCAGTTCAAAATGTATTAAAAGTTTATGTTGTTGCAATAAATAAGATTTCAGTCACATAATTAAGTAAGTTTTTTTTGGTATTATTTTCTTTTCTCATTTAGAATGTATTGTTTAAGTTCAAAAGTTTATTTACATATGCTATTAATTAAGATTTTTCGTATTTTGACATATACGGAGTAAATGCAGAAATTAAAATAAATAAATAAATAAAAGTTCTTTGTTGGCTAAATTTAAAACTAAATGCTTAACATTTATCCAAGCACAATTGCTGTCACTATTAATTTTTTGAGGCTGGGGCTTTGGTAGCAGTAATAGCTACCAAAAGACGGGGAATCTTGAACCGAATGCTTTCCCCCCTTTAAGAAATCATCTCCTATTTGCAACAAAGATTCTTGTGTGCAGTTTAATGGATTCCCAGAGGGGTGCATCTATGTCGCAAAAGGAAGACCTTTAAAAGAGATAAGTGGTTAAAACCCCAGGGACGTCAGATTTGACATTTCACCCCACTTTTCAGCTTCGATAATGGGGGAAAAAGACATGGCCACTAAAGTGGATAACCCCATCTTTTCAAAGAGAGGACTCTATGGCCACTATAATGGCCATCCCGTCTTCAAAAGGTTAAGAAGGCAAATAATATCGAGTAGCCCATCTCGGGTTAGAATCCTAAAGCTACATGTCACCACAGTGAAAATGCCTCTACAGAGTTACGAACAATACTACTTACAGGGATTAGTTACTCCCTTCAGCAAGACAGGCGAAAAAGTTACGTCAGCCTTGTGAAGGATTTTCGCACCTGAAATACGGAGAACAAAATGCAAATGTCCGACATATTCACATTCATCATTAGTTCATGGTGAATGTCGACATTTGCAGGTGTAAGTCAGAAATAAGGATATTTAGCATATATTTTAGACATACACCAAGTGACTATGTGAATGTTGACATTCACCGGTGAATTCCAACATTCTCCAAATCTCAATCTTTCACAGTAAGCTCGCCGAATCCATCAGTTACGGTCTCTATTAAGTTTTGCGTACCTAGAAGTGAATTAGACATGTTTTACGTTTTATTTTATCAACTGAAATAAAGCTATAGACTTAAATACGGGATATGCGATTAGCAATATTAAGGATTAACAAATTTCATAAACTAAAATTCCTTTATAAAGGGCTTCAGAAGTTCCAAACAGATTATTAAACAGACATTTTGTGCCTACTCACAGGTCTAATGGAAGAGCTTGAGATATTTAATTATTATTAACATAAGAATCAAAATTCTTAATCACGACAAGAGTGAAAGTGAAAAAATCATGAACTTCAGCTTTTTGGAGCTTTTACAGATCCAGGCATGTGTGTAATTAACATAAATAAAATATTTAAAACAAATAAAAAGTATGTCCGTCTTAGATAGATTCACTTCCTAAAAGTCTTAAATTTGAACGAAGGAGATTATAGATAGATTAGACATAGATTTAGAGATAGATTTTTGAGGATGTATATTCGACCTAGATCTGGAGACTTGGGTATCTTAGTCTCACATCTAGTAAACTCTAGAGGCACTTCTAAGAGGGAAAGATCAGCCTACGCATTGCTAACAATACTGTCTGTCTCTCTTTACTGCGGTCTACCTTACATTTCCCTTGCGGCGTTTTTACTTCCTTGTACGAAGTAAAAAGGAAGTACTGTAATCGCGAAATGTTTCAGGCAGCATATTTCAACGAAAATATCCATTTTGACCGCTATCGAATGCAATTTAACGATGTTTTTGTGTGATATCTGTACGTAAGGACAGAATAAAATACTCTTTTCCTTCAAAAAATTATAAAACTGCTTTAAAATTAATTCTGAAGAGAATTTTTCGTGGCGTCTGTACGAACGTATGTACGTACGTGCGTGCGTACGTACGTATCTCGCATAACTCAAAAACGAGTAGCCTCAGAACGTTGAAATTTTGTATATAGGACTGCTATAACATGTAAATGTGCACCTCCTATTTTGGTTTCAATCGGCCGCGCCAAACGTATATAAATATATTTATATATATATCCACTCTGTTACCCGGCTCAGTGATCTCAGTTTCTTTACTCTTATATGTTTGTAAATTGTACATTTTTTGCTTTAAAAATAATTGAATTATGTTGTTTTTATCTTCCGGTTAAGGATTTTATGCCTTTAGTAAATCTGTATGCAATAATTTTAGAATTATTAGCAATTTTAAAGTTGTTTGATTGCCAATAAGCCTGTTTTTAACGGCGGCCATTGATGTTTACATTTGAACAGGAGACTAGTGGATTTGTTGCCAATCTAGAGAAACTTAGCTTCGCAACAACAAAGATAACGCATTCATTTATTATTTCCAATTAAATCATGCTTAATTCTTTCTGGAATCTTTTCGAGGAAATAAGCGTTTGAGATATACTTCGTAATTTTTAATATATATATTTTGAGTTTTTATGTATTTTTGCCGTCTCGCGAAGTGATAACTGAATTAATTAAATGAGAAATACTCAATCGTCTGTGAAAAACTGTTTCTTTTTTGTTTTGTTTGCTTAATTTCTTTTATATA